TCTCATTTGACATGCATATTGGGTATCTACTGAGATGGGTAAATTGGACCTACACGTACGGGTGGGTGCGGTGTGTTTGGGAATGCGCATTGCCTCAAATAAAAAAGACAATGCCTCTTGTTACTTTTAATTACACACCGCACCCAAATAAATTTTATGATAATCTTTATTGGGCACTAGTCTTCTCCACCATTTCTAAGGTATGTTCAAGTCAGGTACTTGAAGCTGTGTTCGATGGAGATGCGGCACTTTTCAAAAAACATCCTGAGCTAAAGGATTCTTTAGTTCGGGTATATTTCCATTCTAGAATACCCTAGTACAACCGATTAGAGTGTTGGGGGCCATTGAAGGATGCTGCTCGGGTAAAATCGAAACTAGCCACCCATGGGCTGCACACATACTGCAGGAGCAGTTTTACATCAATGACCAATTAATATTTACCCTCATTCTGCTTGAAAACAAGAAATGCCCTTACCAGCATGACCTTTCACGAACAACAATCCCCTCAAGCAGCACCGAAAATCTAAAAAGCGCATTTGATCTAATCCAGGCTATTCTTTTTTTTTTTTGGGATTATTGGAAATTATAGATTGTACTTGAATTGTACACGCAAGTGAAAGTGATTATTTACCGATCAACTTATCAGGGGCGACCACGGGATCATCGAGGTTTTCCTATGGAGAGCAAGGCTAGTTCACGTATTTCAAGAAAGTCGGGAGGACCAAAGTCCATTTTCGAAGCTCTTTGTGCCTCCCTTCTTTGATGTGCTCTCTCCATAAGCAGCGTAATCTCAAAGGAGAATTTTCATGGCCAGAGTTGAAAGGACTCTGCTTACATAACATACAGACACCAAAGTTGAAGTTGCAGTAGAACAATGATTGTTTGAGGGACGGTTGATTCTTTTGCAAGTAACTCATTTCTTTCATTGGAAATATTAATTGACAGTATTCTTGTGCTGCTCATAACATTTGTTAATTTGGCTAAGGCTGGGTGAAGTCTTAGTCGCTTCGTGATTAAAACACTAAAATTGGAGTCCTATTCGGTCCCCTCCCATCGCTGTCTCCCAGTAAGGTCTTGGTCCTGCATGCTCTGTCATAACAGTGCCGGAGATGAGTGATTAGTATACATCGTGAGTGGTTAACATAGATGGTTCAGAATTACTTGGACCTTCAAATATTTTGGCCCCTTAGGGACTGACAATGTCATGAAGGATATAAATGAAAACCAAAATAAAATGAGGGGTACAAAACAAAAAGGTGAAGATAAATTTGACGAGGCTGCTCTGTATTCTTTCCAGATATACATTAAACTTGGGGTTGGGTGTTTAAAACTTTGAGGAGCTATTTAAAAATAATCCTTAAAACTCAGGCCTTATTAAGAATTTGTGAACACCTTGAGGAGGGTCATGGTTAAAGCATTGTTTGGAAACGTGGTTTGGAAACGTGGTGCAAATCATATTTTATAAAATTTAAAAAAAAAAATAGTTTAAATTTAATTTTTTTTATGTTTTTATATCATTTTGATGTATTAATTTTAAAAATAATTTTTAAAAAATAAAAAATATATTATTTTAATGTACTTTTAAATAAAAAATATTAAAAAAAAAACAATTATCATACTCTCATATATTTTCTAAATCACGAGATTGATATTAGCGAGTCACTGCCATATTTAAACATAAATTGCGTGATTATATATTTGCTTGCCATGAATGTCGGGGATAATGTTGGTATCCACTCCTAGAAAATTGAGTAAATAAAGGGTTGTTGGTTTTTATGGATGAAATCGTGTTTTGTAATTTTTTAAAATTTTTATTTTGTTTAAATATTTTTAAATTATTTTAATGTATTAATATAAAAATAATTTTTAATAAATAAAAAATTATTATTTTTATATATTTTCAAACAAAAAATATTTTAAAAAATAATTATCATCGCACCTTCAAACACTACCTGCACCCATTCCATCTTCCACGAAAATTCTTGCAAGAGTTCGAGATTGCAAACAGTCACAGTCTCAAGACCACATAATATTAAAGAGCTTATATTGTATAAATGAAACTTTGAGGAGCTATTTGAAAATAATCCTTAAAACTCAGGCCTTATTTAGAATTTATGAACACCTTGAGGAGGGTCATCCTTAAAGCACTGTTTGGGAACGTGATGCAAATTATATTTTATAAAATTTAAAAAAAATAGTTTAAATTTAATTTTTTTATATTTTCATATTATTTTGATGTATTAATTTTAAAAATAATTTTTAAAAAATAAAAAATATATTATTTTAATATACTTTTAAACAAAAAATATTAAAAAAAAAAACAATTATCATACTCTCAAATATTTTCTAAATCACGAGATTGATATTAGCAAGTCACTGCCATATTTAAACATAAATTGCGTGATTATATATTTGCTTGCCATGAATGTCGGGGATAATGTTGGTATCCACTCCTAGAAAATTGAGTAAATAAGGGAATAAATAAGGGGTTGCTTGTTTTTATGAATGAAATTATGTTTTGTAATTTTTTAAAAAATTTATTTTGTTTAAATTGTTTTTATGTTTTTAAACTATTTTGATGTATTAATGAAAAAAATAACTTTTAAAAAATAATTATCATCACATTTTCAAACACTTGTCTGCACCCATTCCATCTTCCACGAAAATTCTTGCAAGAGTTCGAGATTGCAAACAGTTTGATCGTTAAGACCATATAATATTAAAGAGCTTATATTGTATAAAAAGTTTAAAACTTAAAATTCTCTCGAGGACCCAGACAATCGGTCATATATATTCAATTATCCCCAGGTAATCAAAATAACATTAAATAATAAAAAACTTCAAGTCAATTTCTTGTTAATTAACTGCTTTGATTGTAAGCACATTCATCGAGATTGGAATAACAGAAATCTCTTGTCGCCGGCTGAGACTGACACAATGGACATCTTACAAAATAGAATATGTTATCTGCATTAACCCACTTCCATCAACACGTATTTCTTGCGTGTATCACGCGAAGGTCTTGAGACTGTTTATATTATAATTAAGACAAGGTTAATTCTTTTCCAAATAATTTAGCTGATCACGACCGGAATTAATTTGAATTAAAGAAAAAGATCTGCAATTTTGGTGTTTTCCTCTTGGCAAAATACCACATCTGTGATCATGTATTGGAATGTTCCAATTTAAAGTCACATCCTGTTCACACGACTTGATGAAACCAACGCTGGAAATGGATCGGGGGAGAATTAATGAAAATTGTCCAAATTCTACGTCAACTGCACAAATGATGATTATATATGACTTGGACGCGTTGATGGAGATCCTCCAACTAATTATATATCTCATTAAATACTACAATAATAGTCAGAATAACATCATAAATACAACAAATAAGACATTATACGTAGACTATATAAATCTGCTTCCTCGGACTCTCCAGTACTTGTCCCCTGTACGCTTATCTCCTTTACAGTTACCCTTTTGGCACCCATCTAAAGTTGAAACGTAGAGACGTGGATATAGATACATGGAGAAAGAAATGATGATTAAGTGCAGTAACATTAATAAAGAGCTTAGGAAGAGGAGTACTGGCATAAAGAGAATTGTCCTACTGCCACCTGCCAGAGGATGCATCAAGCGGGGGATTTTTAGCAGTCTCTTTCAAGCTCTTAAAGTTACAGCACGAGGAATAAGTCGTCGTCTTCTTTGCAAATATTCTGGAGAGGGTTCTAGCTACTCATTATGATGGAAGCATGACGCATGATACATGCATTCGCCCTCTGATCAGTTCCTTGCCAAATAAGTTTGGTTTTGGTTTGGTGACGTGCCTTGAAACTTGTGCTATTCCGTTCGAGAAAAGGATTAGCAAGCTTCCAATCTCCTCCCACCAATTAATTCTCAATTATTCCTTTATATCAGTAATTTGTTTCCAGAAGAGTACTATAGCCTTTGAATTAATTAAACTCCATCTCCATTCCTATATGTGTATGCATGAATCAGGCATGCTACAACGAGAGAAGAGTGCTCTCTCTCTCTCTCTCTCTCTCTCTCTCTCTCTGTGTCTCACCAACACACATAATTTGCCTCTTATATATTTTACAGTCCACATATATGCTTAATAACAATGTTAATTTATTCATAGCTGCATGTTTTTTATGGGCTAGCTAGAATTTTTATGAAATCTCATTGCTCATCCAAACCATGCATATTGTGGATTGATGTGGTCCTAAATATCGAATTTGTTCTTGGGTTTGAGAAGTGCACTACCGTATGCCTGAGACCATACTAATTAACGACCGACAACTTCCAATTTGAGAATCATGCACGCTCAAGCGTCGTTCGTAGCCTTGGACACACCATCCGTACCAAATAACAATCACCTCCTGTGACAACAAAAAAGTGTTTTGGCAGCTATATATCTGAACTGTTTATGAAGTTAAAGTGTGAAAGAGGGAGGAAGGTTCCTACCCTAGCTAGCATGTGTAGCGTATTGCCACATAGGACCTTGAGATAACTAAATAAATAACGCATGCAGTCTGTCTCCCTCTCCCTCCCCCTCCCCCCCTCGAAATGTACAGAAGGATAATAATATCTGAGATCATGGGATTAACAAATCTATCCCAAAGAGCAGTGGTTGCCAGAAGGAATGACAAGAAGAGAATCCTTTTGCCACCAGTCAGAGGGAGCATTAAACACAAAATTTTTATCCTTCTTTACAAAAAACTGAAGCTTGCAGGCCATAGTGCTTCTACTTACCTGATCAAGAGCTGCAGCTAAAGCTAGCCATGCATCTTTCATTCCCGTAACGTTTCCGTAACTCTTCATATTTATTGTCTCTTCCTCTGTGAAATTATGGTGTAGAAATGAAGGGTTTTTTGAAAAATTTCAGTATATATGTACGTAGTGGATGATTAATCATGGGGAAGGAGTCAATTTCTCTAATTAATTTCTTTCCGTAAAACGTTTGACGAATCTTTTAGTTTCTCGTTACTCCAAGAAATAAAGCTCCATCTAATTACAGAAACCACTGAAATTGATAGGTTTATGCTTATGTCTTAGCACATGTGTCAGATAATACCCGAAGGAAGGTTTCGATCTCTGTGGTAGCCTCAACTGAGAGATTTATTATTGCTGTTATCAAATATATTTTGTTTTGTTTTATTTGATAGGGATAAATAATATTTTAATTTTAATTTATATACAATTTCTTTGCATTTAGATTAACCTAATTTTTTTTAGAATAAATTAATTATGCATGCAATATTAATGAAACCTAACTTTATATATATATATATTTGTTGAATTTAAATTATTTAATATAATATCCAACCTAACAGAACTTTCTAGAATCAAAATATATATATTTCTTCGTGCATGAACAAGGGAAGACTTATTCTAGATAGACAGTCGATCGGCGGGATAATGAACCAAAAAAAAAAGAGCATCCTTTATCATCATGGATTAAAAATCTCGAAATTAACACCAAACTACACCTCAAAGTGAGGAAAATAACATGTCAAAGCCTTAAAATTATATATATATATTACTTTGGTTTTTAGATCCTTCATGAAAAATATTTTTTGGATTTTTTAAACTAAAAAACACTTCTATCTATCTAAAACTTATGTTTTTGTTCAACTAGAAAATGAATTCTAATGACCAGATTTCTACACTGTAGATAAACACGAGAAAATCACAAAAGTTTTCATTATAAGCCACATCTCTAAAACAAATGTCAGTGTTTTATTTTTTTATCTAATCTTGATTTATTATTATTTTAATTGTTTTTTTTTATTTTTTTCTTAATTTAATTTAGTTTTTAATTTAGTCCATCATTATTTTATTTTATTAGTTTTTATATTACATTTGGTCCTTATTATTTTGATTGCTTATTTTTTTATATCTTCTATGGGACAATCTTATAATTCGGATCACTAGTTTTAAAAATTAGCGCTATTTAATTTTAATATTTATTTAGGTATTTTTTAAAAAAAAAAATTAATTCTATCATTTGATATTAAGCTATTAAACATTAA